GGAGATTTGGATGTTATTGTAAACACGGTGGGAAGCTATCTGACAGTTCTATGTTGAGAACTGATGTTACCTAACATACTCGGAAATGATTATTGGAGCTGCAATGTTGAAAAGATTCATTACTAAAAGAAAGCCAGAGTTGAGCATCATAGCTCAGGGGAAAGTGATAACGCTTACCACTACAGGAGTGGCAGAGGGGATGGAGAACTGTGTCAGCACACAAGGTCCACGTTGAGATGGCTGTGGGCTTGTTAACTGCTGCAATGGAAATGCAAGGGAGACACGGTAAAGTTTAAGTTCATAGTTCATGGAGTCGGGTGTTGGTGCTTACTCAGTGAGAAAACTCAGGCGAATGACTATTTGGGTGGATGGAATAGAGATTATCTTGGTGCTACTGGAAAGTTTATGATGCCTTTTAGATATTTTCTAGCTAAGTGCTCTTGGGAAAGTGTTAGATGTGTGTTTGGAGTGACCAGAGCCAGTGGACTGTTTACACTGCTCAGCTGCCATCACAACGCCACCGCTTTAGAAGAGAATGCAGACAGGAAGAACATAAAACATTCTCTTTTAAAGTCACAAATTCTCCCTTTATGTTCATGGGGATGGCACTGTTTCTTTTGAGTAGAGATTCCTTCTTCATAAAATAAGAGTTTGGGGATGTGATTAGCATTTTTCAACTCCAACATTTCGTACATATATGATTTCCACTCATAAACTGCTGTTCTGTCAGGAAGCATTTATTTTACAAACCCTGGTGGAATTCTGGTCTGGGAAAAAGACCATTTGCCATGTGACTATGACCGAGTAACGGCAGCGTCATTCACTCTGAGCACTTTTAACCGTCTCTTCCTGCTCATCCCGCAGAAGAAGAGATGAAGTCAGGGCCTCCCTGTAACAAGCAGTGTTGTTTGTCAGCTGCACACTGAACAGTGTAGCTCCAATGCCATGTGTGTGTCGTTGTCAGTGGATTTGTAAAGACTAAGTCAATTGGATTCCTGGACTAGATGAGGTGATCTCTAGGGGTTTCCATGATCTTATAAACATATTAAAAGGTCAAATTTCAGATAATTTTCTGTTAAAAGTACATATTATGTTCTCTGAACACTCAGAGTCATATCTGAGTTTACTTTAACATACTTAGCAGTGATGAGAAATTCTATTCTAGTAAATAATACTGTTCTCCAGCACTAGTGAGCACAGCGTCTTCCTTTCCAAGGTGGTGTTATTTTCATCTCATTTGACTTCATCACTCTACCTTCCCTGGCACCTGTTAATCTCCTGTTTAAATGGCCATGGAGGTGGGGGTGCGGGCAGGTAGGAGAGAGATGACTCAGTGGTTGACAGTAGGTGGTATTCTTCCAGAGGACCCAGGCTCAGTTTCCAGCACCTGTGCCATGCTTGGCCACCTCACATACATGTGTGGCTCCAGCTCCAAAGGACCCAGCCCAGTGCCTTCTATAGTCACCCATGCGTATGCCATGCTCATCATTGTGGGTTTTTTTTTTTAACTCTTTTACTCTTTGGGGGGCCACCACCCAGCTCCTAAATAATTACACAAAGACTTGTTATAAACACCCAGCCTTAGCTTGACTTGTTTCTAGCCAGCTTTTCTTAAATTATCCCATCTACCTTTTGTCTCTGGGCTTTTATCTTTCTCTGTTCTCTATACCTTTCTTTACTTCTTACTCCATGGCTTGCTGTGTAGCTTGGTGGCTGGTCCTGATGTCCTCTCTCCTTCTCCTTTTGTTGTCCCAGATTTCATCTCTTCGTATCTATTCCCTCTACCTACCAGCCCCACCTATTTTTCCTCTCCTGCCTAGCTATTGGCTGTCCAGCTTTTTATCAGACCAATCACATGTTTTAGACAGGCAAAGTAACAAAGCTTCACAGAGTTAAACAAATGCAACATAAAAGAATGCAACACATCTTTGCATCATTAAACAAATGTTCCACAGCATAAACAAATGTAACACATCTTCAACTACTATTCCACAACATGTAATGACAAACACATACATCATAAATGAAAATTTTAAAAAATATTTCTTACAATGCCCACCTGAATTTACCTCTTGCTGTAATTATTGAGCTCAACAAGAAAGATGTGAGTCAAATGGTTTGGATGAAAACCTAATTGACATAGATTTTAAAGTGAATGAAGAAAGAAAAGTGATAACAAAGAGGGAATTCAAGTTCTGTTGTGAAGGGAGCTGTACATGGTGGAAGGCGAGGTTCTTCTGTCAGATGGATGGTGTCACTGAAAACATACAGTAAGAATAGCCCAGAGAAGAGGGGAAAATTATAATGAGAGTGGAAGATACCAGATACTGGAGTCCAGGACACAAGTCAAGGGCTTGGCTGAGATAGGGAACAAATGTCCTGTTAATTGTAGCAGCAAGAACACTGTTGTCCCAGCCTGTAAAGAGTCTGGAGATGTTCTTTGGGTGCTTGTATTTTCTGAGTGAAATAACAAGCAAAAGTACCAGCAAGAAGAGAAGAGAAGAGAAAGATCTGAGAAGAGAGGCACTGTGGTGAGCCAGGGACAAGGGTTGGAGCTGATTAACTGGGGAGACAGAGGAATTCAATGGGGTGTTTGTGTGCAGACGAGAAAGCCACACTATAGCACATGTCCATTACAACACATACTGAAGAGAGCATGGGAGTCAAAAGCCGTTCAGGCTGAACTTGGTCCTGCAAGGCAGGAAGCAAGCAACTGAGGCAAGTGATAGCAGCGGGAATTCGACTGAGAGGACACCGGAGTGTTGTTGAGGAAGGGCTTCCCTAGGGACATTCTGAGAAGGACCCATGAGAAGGGAGTGGGCCCAGGAAGCTGCTCAGAATCACCCTCCATTGAGCAGGGACCTTTGCCGTAACATCTGTGGTGTGGACTGTGCAGCCAGACTCTTACAAGTGGCTGCCACTTCCCTTGGCCACGAACCCCATATGCATTGTTATTTTTTATCTGTTATCCACGTGAAGCTGTTACTGGCAATGTTGTTTAAACACCTGTATGAGGTTCTGCTTGGCCAGTGCCTTTGGTCCCCTTTTTCAGCATTTCCTGACAGGCCCGCATCTCCCATTCTCCAGTGAAACTGTGGTATCAAGAGGAGATTTTCCATGGTTCATTGAGCTTCTGTTCAGAAGACAACGTCAGTCGTCTTCTTGTAAATATTTCCTTTGAAGGCCCTTTGAGCTGTCTTCTCCTTTTCTCAAGTCAGTCTTTTCTCCTCATGAAACTCCTCTAGTATATCTTGGCTATGTAGTCCAGGGTAAGTGATGGCGATGATTACAACAGACCTGCCTGCTGTCATCTCTCTGGAGAATAGTTTTCTTAACTCCAGTTCCCACTGAAAAATGACTTTTTTTTTTACTTTTTTTTCTCATTTTCTATGGTCCTGCATGTTCTTTCTCCCCAAACTGCAGGACATGTGTTCCCACAGTTACGTAGCCAGAATTCAAAGCTATTGCAGTGTCTATTCTCCAAACTCTCAGCAGTGTGCAAACAATTATGTATTTAAGACAGGAACTGCTGATTAGTGTTCAGGACTAGGACAATTGTACAGAAAATAGTTTTCTAAAATGCACTTGAAGATGTTTAAGCATGATGGGCTGAATTTTCTCCTTATGCTGACTACCCAGGAACAATAGAAATTAAGTTGTCATCACAAAGGACATGGATATTGACATTTTCTTTCTTCATTTTGATAAGGTTTTTAATTGGTATATATTTTCTTGGCTTGATCATCTCTGCTGGGCTTGGAGATATGTGGGTCTTATCGTATTATAGCTCATTTCTGTATATTCTTATTCTCCACCAAAATATAGTGTGAGCTATGACAGTTTTTACAAAATATTTTCAGTGTACCCACCTCCTTTTCAGCCTTCATCCCAAACAGAACACCTTCCCAGCAAAGCTTCAAGCCATCTCACTCACTCCCATGCCCACCTGCATATTCACGGTGCTATTATCACACCCAGAGCTTATTCTTTAAGGTTTTTGTTATATATAAAAATAAAATGTTTGACACATAAAAGTGAGATCAAAATTTAACTGTCTTACTCCTTTATAATGTACCTGGCTTGTAGAAAGAAGGCATGCCAAATTTTCCGGTCATTAGCAGGGGCTTCAACATAATTGGCACTTCATAAATAATTGTTGAAAAAAATAATGAAAACTCCCAATATACATCCAACCAGTCAGATTTAAGGGTTGCGTCATCATGTTCAGGGCTGCTTGAGATGGATGGACCACATGACATCTAAAGAGATTGCCCTTCAAAGTTTGAGGAATTTTTTATTCAAACATTCAAACATGTTTAGATTTTTAAACCTAGTTATATATGAATATGACTTAAAGTAAAATTTTATAAAAAGTATAGTTTTTTTTTCTGTGGCTACATTATACATATGCTGCTAACTAGGATGATTGGCAAACTAATTACACATGTATTGACTTAGCCAAACAACTAAAGTATCTAAATAATATTTCATTTGTAATCTAATTCCTTGTTTACTTCTTAATTAACTGTTTGGGTCCACTCATAAAATATTATGCCCTTCCAAAATGGTAAAGATTATTGACCTTTTCAAACTTTAGAATTCCACAATGAATATTTCTGTATTTTAGAATTTTATTTCTGAATTGCTGTTATGGTTTGATCATCTGGGTAGTAGAAAATTAGTTATAAAGCACTACTAACATTTATGTTGGAGATTTTCTAGCAGATAAGATTTGCTAAAATGTGAATTTGAAGAGCTTCTATACTAACTTCATCCTTTCTTGAGAAAAGTATTATTTTCGATTGATTTATGTTAAGTAGCCTTGTGAAATATGTCCTTGTGAAAGTTTTGTAGCTTCCATGGACATGGTTTATTTACCTTTCCCCCATAATGTTTCCAGCATTTTCTAGCTCAAGTTGAGTTATTTAAAATGAGAGTATAACTTGAATCTGTTACATCAAGGACTATTGACTTTTGAACCCCTGAACACTCTCTTCTAGCTGCTTTCGAAATCTATTGAACAACTGAAGCAACCAGGCAGCCACCTGGAGGAAGCAGAGGAGGAGCTGCAAGGGGACCAGTCCATGGAAGACAGAGCAACCTCTAGCGACATCAGCACTCGGAGCAGCAGCAGTGCTTGTGTGGATGACACACTGGGACACGTTGGGGCTGTGAAGGTCAAAGAGGAACCAGTGGACAGCGATGAAGATGCTCAGATTCAGGAAATGGAATGTGGGGAGCAGGCTGCTTTTATGCAACAGGTAATAGGCAAAGATTTAGCTCCAGGATTTGTAATTAAAGTCATTATTTGAACATAAATGTGTTGCAGATTTCGGTGAATGGTTATCATTTCCTATCAGCACATATCTCTGATTTTAGTGTTTAAGAATTCTAAAACAGGTAAAATGATTTTTTTTTCCTATATAAAGATCACTCTATACTGATCTCTGGATGGGTATGGGTATCAAGGTTTTATTGAACCTTCACTGGTTAAAAAAAAAATACCTGTTACACTAAAATTATGCTATATAATATCCAGGTAATTAATAGGCTTTAAATCCATCTCAAAGCCCGATACAACAGTTCCTTCTAGGGAAAATGAACTCGTTGTTTTTAGTGTTATCTGCTGAGGTCTGTGAGTACAGAATATAGTCTCCCAGCCTGATCAATGAAGCATTCTGTTAGATATGATGTTTTTTAACATATAGAATTCATTTTTCATACAACTGTACATACTGTATCATACCATAGTCTTGAACACTGTTGAAGGTAGTCTGCCCCCCGCCCCCTTTTCCTCTCTTTTTTTGTTAAGTAGAAATGTGGTTCCCATGCCAGGAGCTCTAGGTTATTGTGTAGAATACAACTGAAAGTCTTATCAGTTCATGTGTTTTAAGTCGAGGCACACACTGAGGTTCTGTTTTGAACATTACATTATGTCTGACACAGCATTGCACATTTCTTAAACCTTGTGTAATTTACTGACGCTGTGTACTGAAAAGGATCAAATGGACCTGATGCAAATGTTGGTGAGAAGTAATGTGCAGCCCTGTGGTCCAAGCAGATGCTGTGATGTATGCACAGCTGCAGAAAATGTAGTATGATTACCACCTGATATCAGATTAAAACCAGTTTTACAAGAGGGTGACTCATGTTTATACTTGATATCATTAGAATCTCTTGCATACAGTTCCATGGTATATACCATATCATTTTGACAAAAAAAAAATCTGAATGTTAGGTTTTACAGAAGAATCTGCTTGTATGTGACACACCTCCACAAGGACTATGTCCTTTGATGCTATAAAAATACAAACAACTTTGAAGGCAACAGAGATAATGTTTATTTAAGTCAGCTCTTTGTCAGGTTCCTGCTGTTCTACAGAAAAGCAATTCTGGGAAGGGACAGGAAATGTCTTGTGGAAACAGGAAGTCCAAGTGATTCATGTATTGGGGAATGTAGGAAAAAGAATCCAAGGATAGTGTTCTACTCTTTCTGTTTTTCAAGGGTGTTCTATGAATTGATTTATTGTCTAGGAAAATCACACCACAAATAGGAAAGCCCTTACGGAAGCTATTTGCCAGAACATTTCCTTCATATTCCCTTTTGATATGTTTGCCTTCTTTTATGGGTTTACTTTTGTTAAGCTAGTTAAACGTATGCTGTATTGAGACCCCTTTAATATGGATAATCCAAATTGACCTAGAATCTTCCTGAGCTTTTGAGCTTTTTTTTTCTATTAAAATATTTATATTTCTTGATCCATGGTATTTTAAGGTGTAGTATCCTGTTTCAAGGAGACATAGCACTTTTGCCAAATATAGACATTGTTCAACTGTATGTTATTAGCACGTGTTGTTTACATTTTGCTGTGACATTTAAAACTATATTTCTTTTAAAATGTTTCTGCTAAAGATACATTATCCTTTTTTAAAAAGTCTCCATTTGAATTAAATTAACATAACTAGAGTTAGAAAGTTAAAAGTTTTTCCACATAATGAAAGTCCTTCTGATAATTTGACAACTCTTTCTAATAGGTAATTCTCCCTGTCATCACTGTGTTTGGATTAATCTATTCCTCCATATTAAAATGAATTCTGTCACTTGTTTTGCATTAAAAATATGGCATGCCTAAGATAAAATTGTATATTTTTCCATCTCATAAATATTCATTTTCTTCAAATTCCTTTTTCAATCTCATAAAAAGGGATAGTGCATCTTTTAAAACACATTTTATTTGGGGAGGAACACGTGGCTGAGCAGACTTTTGTATAATATTACTTCAAAGATATGTGATCACAAACAAAAAAAACTATTTTTTATAATGTCATTTGAGAGAACTTCATCAGTACGTTTGGTGGACGTAATTGTTTGAATTTGATAGTCTTTGAATTTAGTCAAGAAACTACCTGGAACCAGTAAAATGAAAAGCTGGACATAACTAACCTTAGAATTAACTGATAAATGTCTCTTCTAAGATCTACTGTATTTATTATGATTTACACCCTTGGAGGTGATATCTTGTTTTGTGTTGTAAATATATTGTTTGTATGTTTCCCTTCTTGCCTTCTGTTATAAGTCTCTTCCTTTCTCAAATAAAGTTTTTTTTAAAAGATCCCTTTTCATACATTTGGCTTTGTGTAAATTTGATATATTTAATCGAATTTGAAAACTGTGCATTAGATCGCATATACAAAATCTATTTCCATTTTTTGTTGAAATAAGAAAATGAAGATATTTTGAGAAGTTGCTTCTAATACCATTTAAAATAACATAAAACATTAACAATATTGAACTATTTATATCAGCCATTATCAACCAGCAGACATACGTAAAAATCGGTTGCATGCTCCATTTTCTAGTGTGGCCTTTTTAAGGATGTGTTATCCTCTTTGGTATTTAAGTTAAAATGTCATCCTCTAAATATAAAAAAATATAAATAGTCCCTAATGCTATTCAACTTAAAAATTATTTTAAAACTTTAACATGGTCTGTCAAGAGCTCAACATTAGCTACAGGCATCTGCTACGAAGCCTAACAACATGACTCTGATTCCCAGGCCCCACATGGTGCAAGGAAAGAACTGACTTCCCCAGACTGTCCTCTAACTGCACATCAGCTGTGGCATGTACACACACACACACACACACACACACACACACATGCACACGCACACGCACACACACGCACACACGTGCGCGCACATACACACATACACACACACGCACACAAACACACACGCACACACACAAACACACACACATGCACACACAAATAAAAGTAATTAAGAATTTTAAAATAAGCTAAATATACTCCCTTGAATATAACAAGTTCTCAGTAAACATTAAAATGAATCTTTTTACAAGTATCTTAATAATCAAGTCTATTACCACAAGATTCTGAACCACAGATAAAAGTGACAGTGAATAAATGTGAAGAGAAAAGAGTAGTTAAATGAGTCCAGGTATTGTAATGTGTGGCAGGTATTGTAATGTGTGAAGAAGAGCGAGCCAGATAAAGAAAGCTTTCATGTGCACTAAGGTTTAGTGTGCGGTGATGTGAGCCAGTCCCGGAGTGTCCAGCTCATTCCTCTTCTGGTCTGTTGCCAGCAGAACTTCCTGTCTGAACTTCAGAATGTGCTACTATGTGTTTTATTAAAAGGGTTACATGTGATTTTTTTTTAAATGGCCTCTGGTTCATTTAATCTATTCTCTAATACTATCATGCAAGTTAGTGTTTCTATGAGTCAGAATGGTACTGCAGTAATATTACATGAGATATCATTCTGTTGGCATTGGTGAAGGTAGTAACTGAAGCCTACATGACTACTTTTCATAGAAAGCAGAAGTCTTTAAGAAGTTTTGTTTTCATCATACTTGTGTTTGCCAAAAAGTGTTAAGCAGGACTTCAAGTACAACATATTTTAAAATCTAGTACCTGATTCATATAGATATTAATAGCATAAGCAACGTCTTTTCTCAATAATTGGAGCATGTAGTTCTAAATAATTGTGTATGGATAAAGCGAGGTATACAACTAAGGATTAAATGAATACATGATTTAAGTCTGTAATTGTAACCAGATGCAGTGAAGAACTCAGAGGTACAGGAGGACTTGGGCATTATTACTCACTTTATTATTAACTTCTCCACATCCATTGAAGAGGGGTGCACAGGTGGGGTGAATCAAAGAATGTAGACAAATATCAGGAAAACTCAGAATGCGCCTTTTGAGTCCAGCTAAGACTGTGTTTAAATTTTAACATGTTTCTATTCGTATAAGTGCTTCCCAGCATAATAACTTCCTGGAGTCTTAGCAACTGTTTAGACAATGCAATATTTTTGTATCTCTTTTATGAAATGGATTTTGCTTTTAACTATGGCAAACCTACTAAGATGCATAAAGTGTAGTTGCAAGCACCTTAAATCTGTTAACCTCGTCAATCTACCTGTACCTATCAAATTTAGTCCTTACCACAACCATTTGATGTGGGTATCGCATAGAGCACTCCTGGCAAAATCAGTCTACCTTTAATGTGAGCCCAGGCATTCTGGCACTGGAGTCTGCATCCTCAGCCCTGACTCCCCGCTGTGTGTGCGGATGCCTTTTATATATCCAAGTTGCTCACTCCCACCCACCGTATTCAGCTGCTTCCACAGGTCTTGTCTCCCTCTGCCTAGATCTCCCCTTTTCCATTAATAGTAACTGATTTGAATCAGTTCTTTAAATCATTACTGTAAATGACAAATGTCGAATATTTTCCTAATTCATAGATGAGAATTTTGTGCCCGTGATATGTTTATCCATGTTTCATCTTGAAAATGTGTGTGCCTCTTCTTTCTGACTCGAGGCAGTGCTGGGATGGACTGAAACACTGTGTTCACTTGGGGTACATGCTGGAGAGGAAGGAATGCCTCCCAGCTGGTTTCAGCTGTCAACTTGTCACAGCCCAGAGCTATCTGAAGGAATCTCAGCTGGACAGTGGGTGAATCTGTGAGGCATGGTCTTAATGGCTAGGTGATGCAGAAAAGCCTGGTCCCCTGTCAGCAGTGGGTTGTATAGGAAAGCTAGCTCAACAGGTGTGGAGGAGCAAGCCGAGGAGCAGCATTTCTCTGTGGTTTCTGTTTGAACCTCGGTTTGAGCTTCTGCCTTGGCTTCCCTGGATGGTGGACCGAAACACACAAGTCCCTTTCCTCTCCAAGTCACTTTTGGTTGTGGTGTTTGTCACAGCAAAAGAAACCATGCCAACTTCAGTCAAGTTAG